GCTAAGCATTTACTAAAAAGCCAAGCATTAGTCTCACCTTCCACGCCACTCCACAAATAAAAATCAGTTGCTAAGCACATAGTCTGAGAATTTGGCAAAGCTAAAACTTACGGGTCCCAGTAAAAAATTAGAATGGAAATTAGAGACATCATGCTAATAGCCTGAGCTATCCACTGATAATTCTACAAAGCATATTGTATTCACATTCCCCTAATATAGAGTGTGGTTTGGGGTCTCAATGCCTCATATTAATGGCCTTTAATGCAAATTAAACACTCTTATAATGAGTGCTATGAAATCCCAGCCCGCTCAGCTGACCCTCTCTGACTACTTTGTCATAAGCCTATTTCCTTTGCCTTAACATGTCTCTGAGGTATCAGCTCACTTTTGTGTCCTGAGATACTTGAATATTTTCATATAATTCTCCCTTTTTTGATGGACAGATTTCTTTTCTACCATATTTAATGAAATTTCCAGAAATAGGCTGTATGTAGTTATGTTAATGAGATTTAGGTTTCTTTCTTTTTGGAAAGTAACTTTTTTGATCAGCGTTGTGTCATGCAAAGCCAAAAGAATTATAATCATACAAGACAAATTCAATCGTTCAATTCCAAACTCTCTTGACAAACAAGTATTTTAGTAGCAGTTCACATGTCCCTATCTAGTTATTTCCTTTAATTTTGTTATTAATTTGCATTATAACTGACAAATTGGCTAATTGTCTTCATGCCTAGAATTATGAAGTATTAAAAGCCAAGTATTAGCTGGGATCCATTAAAGAGCAAAGGAGTCATACTTCATGTGAATAACAAGGTCTGATCATTTTCAGACTCCTCCTTTCAAAAAAAATGTATTTCTGCTACTGTGCACACTGTGTCCCAGGTAATGCCCAGACTACAGAATTTTTAGGTGAACATTATTTACATCTGTACCCCCAATCTATAAGAGAACATCCAATTAATATCTGACATTTTTATTGAAATAGAGTTGACACACAATGTTACATTAATTTCACGTGTCCAACATAGTGATTTGACAAATCTACATTTTCTGCTCTGTTCACCACAAGTGTAGCTCCCATCTGTCACTACACAATGTTATTATAATACAAATTACTATATTCCCTGTGCTGTACCTTTTATCCCCATGGCTCATTCATTCCATAACTGGAAGCCTTCCACTCTCCTTCACGCACCCTGCACCCTTCTCTCCTCAGACAACCATCAGTTTGCTTTCTCTGATTTATTTCATTTAGCATAATATCCTCTAGGTCCATCTGTGTTGTTGCAAATGGCAAGTTCTCAATCCTTTTTATGGCTGTGTAATATTCCTCTGGGGTGTGTGTGTGTGTGTGTGTGTGTGTGTGTACACACCACTTCTTTATTCATTCATCTATTAATGAATCCTTAGGCTACTTCCGTATCTTGGCTATTGTAAGTAATATATTGTACTTATATCTTCTCTAATAAGTGTTTGTGTTTTGTTTAGGTAAGTACCCAGTAGTGGAGTTGTTGGATCATATGGCAATTCTATTTTTAGTTTGTTGAGGAACCTCCATACACTTTTCCACAGTGACTATACCAGGCTGCATTTCCACCAGCCATGCATGAGGGTTCTTTTTCTCCACATCCTCACCAACACTTGTTGTTTCTTGTGTTTTTTATTCTAGCCTTTCTGACAAGTGTGAGGGGATATCTCATTGCGGTTTTGATTTTCATTTCCTTGATGATTTTGATATTGAATATCTTTTCATAATATCTGACTTTGAAATCTTCACACAGTTATTCCCAAAACTTTGATGAATTGTTTAATTATAAAGTGGATTTACTTGAAGACTGTGTAAAACATTAAAGCCTAAGAAGGACACTGTCCCCTAATCTGAAACCTGCCAGTACTTTGTTTTCCTACCTTCAATTTTCTTAACCCTGTGGATCTCAAACTCTCTTGGGGGTCAGAATCATCTGGAGAACTTAGTAAAGGTACAAATGCCCCAGGCCCATCCCATTTCAATAGGCCTGGTCTTCTGTGTTCTTTAGTAGTGCCTTAGGTAACTGTCATTCACCAAAGTTTGGGAATCACTGACTTAATCTTTAATACTTCAATCTCTCTACAAAGAAACACTTCATTTGTTAGGTTTGAGGAGAACCAAAAGACACAAGCATTAGACAGAATAATAGCAGGATACCCTTGAAAACCAGTACTGCCAAGTAAACACATGTGGAGGTAACTTACAGTTCTCACCAACAAAAGAATCCTCAGTAGGCAGAATTTAAGGAGCTCTGTATAGTGGGTATCTTATCCCTCCTGGGAATGGAATAGGAACTGTATGTGCCTTCCTCATCTTGGAAGGATAAGAATCAAGAATCCTCCTTAAATAAAATCCTCTTGAGCTTTCCCATGACCCAGCCAAGACTTCTCAGTCCACTGGTTTCCCAGTACTGCCCCAACCAATAAACCTGCCAGTTAAGCAGCCAAATATCATTATCATGAATGGAATTACAGACAGTAATTATGAGCCTTAAATGCCTCCCATGAATGAAGCCCTTTCCCCAAAACCATCTCAACTTCTCTTCTTAGGAAAATTTGAAGGCAATCCTATCTCTTGTCTCACCCCAAACATAACCTCCTTTGCTTAGAAAAAATACCTGCTCTTGCTGGCTTGGGGGACATGATGAGCAAGCTTTAATAGGCTGTGCTTTAAGGAGGAATGTCCCCTTGGGTGGAGTCCCTTCAGTATCTCTCACCCAAGCATGGCCACTAGAGCTCCTTTCACTGGGGATCAGTGACTACTGACTTTGGCAATATTTCTTAATTTCTGTTCCATCAAGGAAGTTAATATCAAATTTTAAGAATTTCTGCAGAAAAATAAAATGTTGGAGGCTTTACAAAATAGTGTGATAACTTTAATGTTACTTAAAATGGAGCTTTACAGGATACAGTTTACCGAGGATTTAAAAAGAGTCCCTGAAAATAAAGAAATCATAGAAACGTGCAGGGTCAGAAGGCTTTGCATGTCTGTAGAAATAAAGTGAATCTCTAGGCCCAGAATTAACTCTTGCATTCAGTAGCTTTATATTTGGCTCATGGTTTAGCTCAAACCCTCATGGGTAATAAACTTGAATGGATTCTACAGAGATATGTTTAATTTGAAATGCAACACAATATCCCAGGGTTTTAATCTGTTGCTTTCTTTTAATGGAGAGGGAGAATAGGTGCCTGTAATTGCACCAGTAGCTGGCTATGGCTGAGTCCAGGGTTTTTGATTTGCCCTGCAGTGAATAATGCCATATAATCTCTGAAGAGAAAGAACTCATGACCTCACACAGTCCCTAGCATAGCCATTTGCATAGGGTGAATATTCATGGCTCTTCTCTGAATAAGATCAAATGTTATATCCCAGAGCTGTCACATTATAGAATTTTTTCTTTTTTCTGCATGGATTTATTGCCTCCTGGCCATGTTATTTCAAGCCACAGCATTTCCATTTACGGCAACAAATAAATCATGGATTGATTATTACTTTGTAGTCATTGTTCACAGTCTCCTCATGGAGTAGAAAGGGAGTGTATGTGTATTAGAATTTCCACACACTAACCTGAAGACTCACAGGGCAAGTGCAGCCTCCAAAGTGACTGAGAGTAGATTACACTTTCAGAGAAACCATCCTAACCAGCAACAACTAAAGACAATTAGTCGTTTACAGAGGGAGTTGACGAAAACCTAAAGCCTTCTGAGCCCTTGCATTAAATAATTTAAAAGTCATGTTAAATGTTGGAAAGACAGCTTGAAATTCCCAATACTATGCACAGATCAGGATGGACTCATCTCTCTAATATGGATATCTTTGCTTCTTTGGTAATTTCAGCAGAAAGGAAAATTCACACATAAATTATAGTCTTTCAATCACTGAATATGATCACTTTAAAAGTAGAACTCTATTTATATTTTATATTTTTCATTTTGACAGACAGTAGCCTAATAATTTCTAGAAATATGGATGACCAGATGGACTATGTTTTTTAATGTATATACATATACAAATATGTATATATTAGCCTGCTCATTTTTGCTCTCTACCTTATAGTCATGTACAGTAAAGATATTCAGGGAAGTAAAATTTGCCACAAGGGAAGGTTAGGGTAAGAAAGTTTACATTATACTATTGCATTAGATTATATTATTCCATTTCTTCTTGTTTTCTAGAGGGTAGATATTCAGGTCTCTATAAATTAAATAGGAAAAAAAAAAACGCCACAATATACATGAATAATTCACTCCCTATACCTCAACTAGTGAGATTCAGGACTTATCATTCTATCATTAGGGCTATTAAAATTTGCCCCCCCCCCAACTAAAGCACTGTCTGCTTTCCTTCATTGGATCTCATTACCAATCTGGAGCTACATTGAAACCATTTACAAATTTCTATCTGAAGATCCAGTCTCCTTGTATCAGGCCATTAGGCATAGAAGGTTGTAGGGAGGACTGACTTGTCACTCCCTGAAGGAACCACGTGAGCATGTCCCACTTAAGCAACAGGGTGCCCCTCAGGTCAGCCTGTGATAAAACCGAAGTCAAACAAGGCTGAATCCTGGATGTTTTATGTCCTAAGGATCTAAAAAGTGTTCATGGCCAGCCCTGACCCTCAAGACCTCAAATGCTCGTCTGAGCAGTCACATAAATTGATGTAAACTTGCTCTTGGGCCATTGCTGTGGAAGCCTGGCTGGCGAAAGTACAGCCTTTCTATGGAGGAACTAATGTCTTTTTAGGCACTAAAAATAAGGGGGAATGTGTTGATTACTCCGACAGGCAATCCAACTGTGGTGGCTAAATGCCCAAGGCTGACAAATTCTGCATCTTATCACTGCCGTCAAGTGGAGGTGCATGTGAGCACTGTCAGCCCCAAAGAATTGAGAAACAACTTGCCTTCCAAAACTGCAACTCAACAAAATCTTGACAATGCCAACAGCTCGTCATCTCGTGTTTTTCAACCCTCCAGAAAATGGCCTTCCAGCCTGGGACAAACCAAAGCACTGTCCAGACCGAGAACACGACTGGAAGCTAGTAGGAATGTCTGAAGCCTGCCTCCATAGGAAGAGCCATGCAGAGAGGCGCAGCGCATTGAAAAATGAACAGTCGTCACCACATCTCATCCAGGCCACTTGGACTAGCTCGATATTCCATCTGGACCATGACGATGTGAACGACCAGAGCATCGCAAGTGCCCAGACCTTCCAAACGGAAGAGAAGAAATGTAAAGGTAACCCGATTTCTATTAGACCATAATATGCAGTGTTTCAACAAGCAAAGAAAGTTTCTATCATCGCTGTGTGCTCAGCTCCATTTATTCCAATGTATGGTGTCCATGTGTTTTCCCCAACTGTTGTGTTTGCAAGGTTTATTTATCCCCCAATCTTCTTTTGAACATAAATAAATGAGTCCCAAAGGAAAGCAGTTAATTTCAGTTGCATGTTGGGTTGGACACTTGGGGAGAAGACATTTTTATTTCTCTAATTAGCAGAAGGGTTGTTAGTTTTGGCTTTAACTCTGTTTTTGCATCTGAGTAGAAACAGACATTGCTATCGTTCTGTAGCTACTTGCTTTGAAGTGTGTGTGTGTGTGTATGCACATTTCTTTTCCCAATTGTGCCAGCAGCTAATGGGATCTCAAAGACTACCTTTAACCCAAATAGACAATTCACGCTCAAAAGAGAGGTTTTAAGTTGTTTTCTTTTACTCATTAAATCCTGTGTCATCTTCCTGAAAGGCAAGATTATGGTGTTAGGAGGTTGTCACCTCATAAAAAATGTGTTAAACTGGCCTAAGTTCCTGATTGCATTAGATTTAACTGGTCTTTACCTCAGGTTGCCTCACACGACAGATGTCTTTGTGCTGATCGCTTTATTGTCTTAGGGCTCCCCAAAATGTTGCTCTGTAAATTCATTTGTGTTTTTAAATGTCTATGTTCATGTAACTTTCCATACTTTTTCAATTTAGCATAGAGAGAAAATAAGGTCTTTTTGGTTCTTCTTGAAGGATTTGACTCATGATAAATCTTTAAATTGTATATTTGGAAATCTGGCTATTACTCACCAACATACATTAATGAAAGTTTGTAAAGACTTCTATGTATGAGCCATGAGAGACTTTTGCATACTGTTCTAACTGCAACATAAACCATGATTTATTTATCCCGTCAAAAAAGTGCTGGCACTTTAACTTTTTTGAAAACACATCAAAAACTCCTTGGAACTACCATTTGACCCAAGAAGTTGACTGTGTAGACTGTTTCAGTTGAAAACAGGATTGCCTAAGTGACATGAGCTCTGATTTGAGTGCAGTCAAAACTATACATGTTTTCTTTGGGAAGATTTGTGTTTGAACTACCTGTCCCCTTTGTTATTTGGGAGGTTTGAGAAACTGAAAAGGATATTTAGAAAAAGAACAAAATAAGCTCTTTTTTTTTGAAAAAGCATATGAGACAAGTGTGTTTGTGTGTGTGTGTGTGTGTCTGCAAATTTGTTTGAGATATAATTGAAATTTAGTTTTAGCATTTATAACCAAGATTGTATCTTCAGATTTTATGAGCTGGCATCAAAACCACATCAGTCCTGGGTTTTTAGTGAAATACCAACATGAAACTATTAGTGTCCTCATGATCTAAGAAAGTGACAAACTAAATTTGATTCATTTACAGCTAGTGCCCATGTTCACTTATTTGTTCATTTGTTCATTCATTCATAGGATCCACCTATGTCTCTACCATTTATAGAAATCTTGGTCTTGAGTACCCAAAGTTCCTAAGATGGTATACTTCTTTTGTTGTTATACCTTGAAAGCAAAAAGAAACAGCCTTGGGTCTATTTGGACCCAAGACCCTAAATATAAGTGCAGTGGTTGAAACCACAAATTTCGTCTAGAATCCTAGCCCTTCCACTCTGTCCTTGAGCAAACTTCTGTGATTGTTGATGGAATTAAAAAAGATAATGTATTTACGCATACATTTAATATAGTACCTCTCCTAAGGGCTCTCTAAGTAGCAGCTATCATTATTACTGTGATCAGTATTATTAGCTATGCATCATTAAGTTACATAAATTCCTTGTGCTGCACTGTGTGCTTGGTAAGGAATGGAGAATAAGAGGCCAGGTGAGTACAGGCTAGGGTGTGATGTTTCGGGGTGGATTAGAGTTGCTAATCCATTTTGCATTCATTCAGCTCTCCTTTGCTAAAAGTCAGAGAACTGTTTAATAAGAAAATATAATTATTACATTAAAGTCCTTCCTTAAGATTCTAGTATTAAAAGGAAAACAACTAAGGAAAACTCTGGCAGTTTCTAGAGTAACAAGTTCATCTTGGCATGAACGTGAGACAATGGCTTGGTTCAGCATGAAAATGCCATGGGAAAGCCTATGTTGTCACGGCCCATGACTTTATAAACTGAATCTTACTCATTCACAGTGGACATCTATATTTCGTGAGGCATCAGGGAGGCCAGAGAAACAACTCAATTAGTGACTTATTTCTTTTTGGAGGTGCTTCTTCTCCATCCGCTCTGCTTGTCTGCCACCTGTATAAAATCCCGGTGAAGACAGTTCTGCTTGGATCCCCATTTACACCGGGAATGTATTTCCTGCCTCCCTCTGTAGAGCCCCCAGGCATGCTTGATATCTCAGGCCTGGCCTACCATTCCATGCATTCATCCCATCGTGTTCATTAAGTGCCTACCCTGGGTAGGACATTACCCTTGTTGTCTGAGCATGAAACAATAGCATCAAGGCCAAAAGTACATCCAACTAGCCCCATTTCAAGGACCCCAAATGGACTTGATAAGAACTAAATGGCCCTGAAGGATACAGAAAGTTAAGGACCTGCAGTGCAAGAGCCAAAAGAGTAAGTTGCCTGCTCGAAGTGCCACAGTAAGCCCATCTCTCAGGTCCACAATCTAGCCGGTGCAGATCAGCGCACCTCAAAATGTGGTTTGTGAGTGGTACCCTCCTACAAATTGTTATTAGTCCTCTCTATTGATGCAGTAGAGCTTTAGAAACTTTTACAGCAGGGTGGCACTACTGCTGACATTCAAACGCATTATCAGTGGACTCACCTCCCTAAACAGGGTCTGGAGCAATCGAGAATTGTCAAACTTGCCTGGTAAGTCATGCACGGCCAGAGCTAGGTAAAAGTCTTGTGCCAAAGAACTGTGCACCGCACTACCATGGACCAGATATTTTTTTAAATGGTCCTTCAGTTCAAATAATTTGAGAATCACTGATCCATGCTTTATATAATTCTTGATGTTTTTCTTTTGGCTTATGTTTGGTACATAGTTAATGTTTGGTTTTCAGTTTGAGTCTGAATACCGCTTTCATTTTAATCTGCATATAGCAGGGCTTCTCCCTGCTACAGTCATTCTAAAGAAATTAACTGGTAACACATTTAACTGGAAAAAGAGCTCTGGAGACCTAACATTCTGCCACAGAACCCACAGTTCCAATCTGCTTAAGTACCAGAGACCATTTCCAACCAGCAGCGAGGGACCCCAAGCCGCCCCTCTATCTCCACGCTACACCTTCCCTGGAGTTTTTGTCACAGTTCGAGCTGATTGCTCAGCCATGAGGACCACATCCTACTGCTGCCCACACCTCCTTTTCTCCCAGAGTCTGAAACAATGTATTTGGTGGTGCTTAAAGTGCACCCACCCGTGGCCCTAGAGGCATCGGGAGCTTGTTTGAAATGCAGAATCTCAGACCACACCCCAGAACGCTAAATTGGAAGCTTTGGAAAGGAGCCCAAGAATCTGTGTTTTTTAACCAGCCCTCTGTGTGATTCTTAAAAACCTGAATATCAGAGAAAATGCCTAAGAACAGACACCTAAGTTCTTAGTATAAGAAAGGGCCTGCCACCTAGTGGACACTCAGGGAATGTGCATTTTTCTTCCCCTCCTTGACTGCACCTAGAGAGCTACCTAAGGCGTCTTTCTTGATGCAGCTTGGTTAGGCCCGGCTTATCTTAATTGCCAAATGGATGTTCTGTTTAATAACTCCGCCTGGTAACACATCTCTCGGGTACTTGAACCCTTCAGAGAATCCCACTCTTGTTTGGCGCGGGCCCTGATCCTCTCTAAGTACTTATGAGGCTCCTTCATGAAGACCTCTCATGCCTTCCTGAACTTCTCTTCAGAACCCCAGGGTCCCACCAGGTCCACAAGGATGGGTCCTAGTTAGATGTATGCCCCCTGTAGCTGGATCTAGCAGGGTCTGGACGCAAGTGGTCAGGCCTCTGTACTTGGATGTGTGTGCTCAGTGTCAATCAGGGACCTTATTGATACACTGGAACCCAGTAGGAGAAAAAAGGCAGGGATTGACCCACCTCCCTGAATGCACTAGAAAAAGGTGGGCAGCAACCCAGTGATCTCACTGAATTTTCTCTGTAGGCCAGTTCCGTGTTTACTATCAAGAGAATTGAGTCTTAGATCCTAGGAAGGCAAGGAGAAAAAAAGTCAAAATAATTTTACTAACAAGTTATTTTCTCTCATTTTAAAAAAGCCTTCCATGTTCTGTATAAAATTGAAATTTTATCAAAAGTTTAACAAAATAATTTTTAGAAATAATTTCTATTTCCATCCTCCAAAAACAAGAAGTGTTAAAAATCTTTATTATATTTCAGTCTCTTTTCTGTGTGTATCTATTTTTTATAAACTTGGAATCATACTAGACATGCCATTTTTTCACCAGTTTTTAATGCTTAATGACATATCATGAACATTTTCCTTTGTCATTAAGTATCCCTCTGAATCCTGACTTTTATTGGCTATAAATTATCCTTGCTTATAGATATGCTGTAATTTATTAAGCCAGTCCCCAAGATTTAGACAAGTTAAAGTAATTTTTAAAACAGTATCTTATGTCAGTAAAGGGGCAGACTATTAAATCATGCTCTTCGTAAGGAGGAAAAAATGAATCAAATCAATGATGACAATTTTAAATGATATATAATTCTCATTTACCAAAATAACAAAGTGTTCTAAAAATGAGAGATGTAAAGCCAAGTCATTGTATGCATTATAATCCTTCAAGCTAGACATTCACATTTTCAGCAGTGATCGCTATCTTTGTCCTTAAGTAAAATACAAGGACATCTTCAGGTAAATGAGTATTTTAGAAGGTTGGGGATTAAAAAGCTTGAGCCCTTCCACTAGTATGACCATCTGCTCCATCCATCTCGACTCTCCACTCTGCCCGGACTCACCATACATCAGGTG